TTCAAACTTTGTGGTTAAAAAGCATTTCATACAACGTTAATACGGTTCTTACACATTTTGCTATATCTTTCGATATGACCTTTTTCCCCTCACCGAAACCCTTAATTGCCATTTCCGGTCGCTGAAAATTTGGCAATATTTTGAAAAGTCTGCTACGGACACTACAAAACTCCGATTTACAAGATTTTTAATAAATAATGAAGAATATAACTGTTACATCATTACTGTCCATAAATAGCAAAAGCTAGTCGAGATGGACAGTAGTTTACATTAAGCATCTTAATAAACAAAACAAAGAATAATCAAAGAATAATCAAAGAATACTATTAATATTTCATATAGAAAGGGCATTGAAGTCGAAATGTGCAAAACATTTATGCTTTACCTCATATAGCTTAAAATCCGTAATATAAGATTAAAATTAATCGTCTTAAATTTTGATTTATATTTCTAAAATCAGTTTTTGGTTTTTCCAAATTGCTTTAATATAACTGAAATATCAATATATTCATCTTCCATTACTAACATTTGGAGAAGCTTGTCATGCATTTTTTCCGAAAATTATGTTTTGAGTTTTCACGTAATTCCATAGGAATCACATTCCAAGCTCTAGCTCCCGTATTTGCGAAAAATCTTTTTTGTAAATCAAAACCTGTATACTTGACATGAAAATTTTTCATTGAAGAAGATCGAGTGTTATATTCGTGTATCTTTTCAACAGAAGTAAACATCGCAGAAATATTTGGAGGGACATTTGTTTTTGATATGTCGTACATTAGCATTGATATCGATTTAATATAAAGCAAGTTTATTGGTAAATACTTGCAGATTGAAAGAGGGGGATTGCGTGAGACCGATAATGTGCAGAGTATATTAGTCGAATAGCACGTTTTTGAAGTTTAAGAATTTTGTCAATGTGGCATTTTGCAGCTTGACCCCACAAAACAATTCCGTATGTAAGATGAGGTAAAATGAGGGACTTATAAATATTTATTAATGTATTTACTGGAACAAAAGATCGCAATTTTGCAATAATACCAATCAATCTGTTAACTTTAGAGGCGATATACCCAATATGGTATTTCCAAGAAAGGTTACAATCTATTAGAATGCCAAGATATTTAATATGATTTTTACGTTCTAAGGAAACATACGTTTTTGAGTGAATATCATAAATTTTCAGATCCACCACATAATCTGGCCGTTTTTGATAAGGATGAAAAATAATGTAGTTAGATTTATTAATATTCAAAGACAATTTGTTCGCTATTAACCAGTTATGAATTTTAGAAAGTTCAGTGTTAACAATGGTTTCTAAGGATTTTAAATTTTTATCAGCATATATCAAGTTTGTATCATCAGCAAATAAGTAAAACTTCAGCTTTTCTGAAGAGTTATAAATGTCATTTATATAGATTAAAAAAAGCAAAGGTCCTAAGAACGACCCCTGAGGAATGCCAGACAAGGTTTCTTCTTTGGCAGATATGTTTTGGCCAATTTGTGTTGTTTGCATACGACCTAATAAATATGATGAAAACCAGTCATTTACTATACCTCTAATTCCATAATGTTGCAGTTTTTTTGTAGTATAGAATAATTAACCGTGTCAAAGGCTTTTTGCAGATCGATAAAGATGCTGCAAGTATACAGTTTTTTGGCCATGTTTGACTGGATTTCATTAATTATCTCTAGAATTGAGTGTTGAGTTGAATGGTTCTCCCGAAAACCATACTGTGAATTAAATAAAATGTTGCGTTTCTCAAGGAACGATTTCAGGCAATTATACATCAGTTTCTCAAAAATTTTATTGAAAATAGATAAAAGTGATATTGGTCTATAATTCGTGGGATCAGTATCATCATCCTTTTTATAGATAGGAATGACTTTTGAAAGTTTTAGTTTAGCTGGGTATTTTCCACTAACAACCGATTTATTCATCAATTCAGCCAATGGTTTGGACAAGATGTGTCTGGCACATTTTAATATACGAATTGGACAAGAATAGAGGCCATGGGCTTTTTTCATTGGTATTGACATTATTTCTTTTTCAATTTCATGGTGTAAAATTGGAGTGAATACAAACGAAGATGAATTGTGAATATTAGGAAGATAATGTGTAAAAGGTGTTTGGGAATTTGACATTTTGCTAGCTAGGTTGTTACCCGCTGTTGAAAAATACCTATTGAGAATATTAGGGAATTTGTGTTCATTATATGTCATTCTATTGCTTATTGGACATTGTAAACATGTGATAGCTTTACTTGATTTCTTTTAACCTGCGTAGTTCCTGTGCTAAAGGAGGATTTCACTTAACAAAATTCACCAGCAATTCGCGTGTTGTCTTACAGTCGATACCGGACAATGAGCGTTCTAAGGAATTAAAGAATCTAGACTTAGAACACAGAAAATTACCAATCGTAAGGGCACTTGGAGTTTATTGGAATATAGAGTCGGACGAATTCGAATTCTGTGTTACCTTAAGTTCCAAACCTACCACCAGAAGAGGTATTCTGTCTGTTGTCTCATCAGTTTACGACCCACTTGGTTTTGTTGCCCCATTTATTCTTACGGCAAAGAGAATACTGCAAGAACTTTGTCAGAAAAGGCAGTTAGACTGGGACGATGAAATTCCCATTGAATACCAAGAGCGATGGTCCAAGTGGCGTAATGAGCTTCAAGTCATTGAGCATCTTCACATCACCCGAAGTTTTACTCCAATTGGCTTTGGAGAGATAGTATCCCAGCAGTTTCATGTATTCTCAGACGCAAGTTTCTCTGGATACGGTGCAGTAGCCTATCTTCGTCTAAGAGATGACAAAAATTGAATCCATTGCGTGTTTCTTATGGGAAAATCTCGCCTTGCTCCTGTCAAAGTGGTCACCATTCCACGCCTGGAACTTGTTGCAGCAACCTTGTCGGCACGATTGGGAAGACTTCTCGGAGACGAAGTTGAAAACAAACCTGACACCATAATCTACCATACTGATTCAACTACGGTCCTCCGTTACATTATGAATGATCATACAATATTCCACATGTTCGTTGCAAATCGTTTACAAGTAATTCAAGACCTATCTGACCCGAAGCAATGGCAATTTGTTCAGTCCAAGGAGAATCCAGCAGATTATGCATCTAGAGGAATGGATGGCAATACGCTCTTGGAACAACGAAAGTGGATTCAGGGACCAGACTTTCTTTGGGAAGATAAAGAGAAATGGCCACAACAACCATTGGCATTGGGTGAAACAGTAAATGACGATCCGGAAGTAAAGAAAGTCCTTAACGTCTCTGTAGTGTCCGTCGACGATTCTATAGCATCGGTGAACAAACTCTTCGAATTCTATTCAGATTGGTATCGTTTAAAGAGAGCTGTGGCCATAATACTTCGAGTTCGTAAGTTGTTGATGGAACGGAAATTAAGAGAAAAACATGATCGAACTTCGCGCGAAGCCAGAGCAGATTAAACAAGATCAGCGAAGACCAAGATGAAACCATTACCGATATTACCATCAATTACAGTTGAGGAGTTGGAGAAAGCCGAAGATGCTATAATTAAATGTTCACAAGCACAAGCGTATGGGAAATAAATAAGTGTCATTAATGACATTATGAGTTTGGATGAAAGTGACCTGAGAAAGAAGCAAAAACAAAAGAAAATGAGGATTAAAAAGACGAGTTCCATCCATAAACTGAGTCCCTTTCTTTCGCAAGGAATTCTACGTGTTGGAGGGCGGTTGTCCAGGACGAATCTACCCGAATCAACAAAGCATCCATATATTTTGCCTCGACGAAGTCATATTACGATGCTCATAATTTGTGACGTTCATGAAAGATTGGGCCATGCTGGGCGCAGTCATGTCTTGGCGGCCTTGAGAGAGAAATATTGGACCATGGGTGCAAATTCAGCTGTTCAACATTATCTTTATAAATGTGTTATCTGTCGACGTATTCAAGCAACACCATCTGAGCAAAGAATGTCCGATCTGCCCAAAGAACAAGTTAACCCTGCTCCCCCATTTACCTACGTCGGTGCGGACTATTTCGGTCCCTTTCATATTAACTCATTAAGTCTCATTGCGCCTTCATGCGCCCTGGATGACACGTCAACTTCCGGGCATGATTGTCTAGCGCGTGTTTATCGGGTTGCCTAGCAACGGTCACGAGTATAAAGTGCAAAATACGGGCTTTCAAACGATACATCATGCGAGAAAATTGATCAAAAGTTTGCGAAGATTTTCGATTTTAAAACTCTATTTTTTTACAAAACCTGTGACACCCACAAAGTGTCACAACATAGGACTTTGCAGCAAGTTTTAAGGATGAAAAAGAAGAGGTTTTTAAAGGGTTTTACATATAAAATATATTGTAAAACATAAGGGAGTGTGCATATGTTTCGAGTCAAGTTCTTGTCCAAATCAAGTCGCGCGATTTTCAGCCAGAAAAACAGCAATTTCTTTCAATCTAACGGAAAAGTGAAGTGGGAAATCGCAAAAAAGATGAACACTAAATCCAAGTGAGTAGTTACGATTTTTTGAGCGTGTTTTTGAATGAAAATACCTGGCATGTTTTCATGAAATTCGATATAGCATTAAAGCAAGTTCAATCTAGTTTAAAACTAAGTTTTTAGAAGAACTTT